CCGTGGCTGAGCACCCGTGGCAGCCCTGTCGGGAGGGCATGGACAGGGACCAACAGGTCCTGGAGACCAACCCGTCCATCCTGCCACTCTGACCAGGAGGGGACTGGTTCCTGTCACCCTCCACAGTGACTCTGCTCTCCTTGCCTCCCCAGGACCCTCAGCTGCCTCCACGGAGGACTCTGGGCCCTGGGGTGACCACGCGCAGGCTGCCTGGCTTGTGCTGGAAGCAGAAGGGCCACTCTGGACAGCAGGTCTGTGTGGTGTGTCCCGGGGTCCTGATGCCCACGGCCCAGCCTCAGGACGGTGACTTACTGGGTCTCCTCTTGGCCCCCGCATGCCTGGGGTCCCCCGAGGTCCTCGTTCTCCAGGGCCGCCCTGCATGGAGGAGGGGAAAGCTCTGGGCAGGATCTCACTGGGCAGGTGGGCTGGAGGCTGCTGGTGGTCTCCAGCCACATCATCCCAGAGGCTGGGCCCTGCTCCTCTGCTCCCACCCGCCTCCAGAGAGCTCGAGGGACCCGAGGCCCAGACACGGTCCACAGGACGAAACCACGGCAGCAGCTTCTCTGTCCTTGCCAAGGCTTCTGGACGCCCAGCTGAGACCCTCCAGCCCCCACAGGTGCTGTGGACCTGCCCAGGGGGCATGGCCTCTGCCGGTGGGGAGGATGGCGAAGCCCTGTTGACTCACCCTCTCTCCAGGGGGGCCGTCCGGTCCTGTGTTCCCCTGGTGCGGGAGGGACAGAGAGGTCAGCTTGGGTGCGGGAGGGACAGAGGTCAGCACAGCCCTGGGTGGGGATGGGCCGGGGGCTCACCTCGTCACCAGCCTCTCCTTTCTCCCCAGGGGGGCCAGGCTCTCCAGGCTCACCCTAGGGAGGACAAGGGTACAGCCATCTGTCCAGGTCCTTGGCCGAGAGCCCCGTGTCCACCACACCCCAGCTCATGCGGTTCTCACCTCGTCTCCCGGTGGCCCTGAGTTTCCGGGTCTCCCAGCCTCCCCGTCCGCTCCAGGTGCACCCTGGGGAAGGTCAGAGGGGTCACAAACGCTCGATGTTGGGGTGCAGCCCGTGGGGGGGGTCACACCAGGCCGTCCTGGGAGGAGTGGCCCCCTGCCCACCCTCCTCACCCAAAGCTCAGTTTGTGCTGACCAAGACACATGAGCCCCAACCTCCCTGGACTCTTGGGCTCCACGATTGCAGGAAAACCTCCTGGACCATGAGTCTTGCCACTCAGGGTCCAGCCCCAACACCTGACCTGACCGGGAAGGGGAAGACCTGTGCCAGGTCCACACCCTGCAGCCCAGGCCTAGAGGGTCGTGTGCAAACTGAAGGACGAGACCCCAAACCATTTGTCCTAACATCTGGGGCAAAGTCACCCCCTTAAACCTCCCAGTCTTCTGGCTTCACTGATAAACCCCAGAGAAACCCCACAACAGGACGGGGGGCTTCAACAGAGCCTGAGGCCCTCCACTGGGCTCCCTGCTGGGCTACCAGGGTCCTGGACTTTCACCATAAAGGGAGGATGGCGGGGCGGGAAGCTGACCTGTGGGTCTATGAAGGGGCGGCTGGAGGGACAAGACTGTTTCCCATATCCCTGTCATCACCCGACCAGGACCAGGGAGGCTGGCGCCTGTGCGTGGGGCAGAGAGCGCTCCCAGAGGACCTCACGGGCCACGGTCACTCACCTTCTCTCCCTTCAGGCCAAAGGCGCCGGCATCTCCCTTGGGGCCGGGGGGGCCTTGAGCGCCCTGTGAGAAGTCAGCATGAGACAGGTCAGGGCCAGCGGAGGCCCATGGGAATCCCATGCGCACCACCCGCGGCACAGTGTCAGCAGACTCGCAGAGCAGGGCAGGAGGGCAGGAGGACGGGGAGAGAGACTTACATCAAACCCTGGCGAGCCCTTGCATCCTGGAAGGCCTGGGTACCCCGTCTCCCCCTGAAGGAGGAAAAGGGGAGGGAGGTGGTCAGCTGTCACCACCCTGGCTCCGGCCCAACCAGGGCCTCCAGGAGAGCCTCCCCTACGACCCTCTGAGCTTAACTGGGCAGCTTAGGGTCCCCTGGGACCTGGTTCTTGACAGGAAATATCCACAGGTCACACCTCGTGGCTTCACATCACCAAGTCCTCTGGGAGTGTCCACCCTTGAGACCGCCCCTGCTCATGGGGAGGGGTGGACAACTGGCTGTGCCCCCTCCTCCCACCCAGCCCTCCCGTCCTGAGCTTACCTTCATTCCGTCCACTCCGTCAATGCCTCGCTTGCCTTTCTCACCCTGGGAGACAACAGGAGGGTGAGGGAAAGGCCAGGCCCCAGGACGGGCCCCACCACAGCACCTGCCCACTCACCTTGTAGCCCTTGGGTCCCCTGGAGCCCTGCGGAGACAGGAAGGGAGAGTGAGAGGTGGGGCCCTGCCTGGCTGGCCCCCACTTCAGTCCCGCCCAGCAGACGCGGTGGTGCAGGGAGCCTGGCAGGAGGCCCCTGCCAATGCAAAGCCACCCCTGAGCCCAAGGGAGTGCCCGCCACTGCCGGGGGGTGGGGTGGGGGTCCAAGGATAGGAGGGAGACAGGGAACCAACAGAGGAGCACAGCCTGGGTGGGGTGAGAGTGGTGGGCGCTGGTCCCCAGCCCTTGCTGGCCCAGGGCCAGAAGGCCACAGAGCCCAGGGCCCAGTCCTGGAATCAGGCTCCTCCTCCCAGGTGCGCGGGGTGGCGAGGGGCTGGGGCGGGCGTCCCCAGCAATGCCCATGGTCCAGGAGGGGTACATGCTGCTCCATAAAGACAGTCCTGAGGTCACACTCACCTTCTCCCCACGGCTCCCTTTCTCTCCCTGTAGAGGAAGCAGGGAGGGCGGGGTCATGGCCTGCGGGGGCTCAGGGCAGGGCACCTGACCCACCCAGACCCGAGGGCCACTCTGGAGGAGGGGCACGCACCTTCATCCCCTGGTACCCGACTGGCCCGAGGTCCCCGGGTCTTCCCTGGAAGAGAGGAGAGGTCAGACAGCCCTGCAGGGAGCACCAGGCCCCACCAGCTGGCCTCACCCCTCCCTCCCTCTCAGGCCTGATGGTCCACGCCGCTGGTGCTCAGCAGCCACCCTCCTTCTGGAAGTTTCTTCAGTCCATTCCCCAACCTCAGGCTTCCCATTCCCACCCCTGGCACTCACAGGGTCTCCGGCTTCTCCCTTCTCTCCTGGGAGGCCTGGCTTGCCTCGTTCTCCCTGCAGGACAGGCACAGCGGGTTAGGAGCTGGGAAAGTCCGCAGAGACCCTGTCCAGTCCCCGTGACCACCCAGCCTCAAGGCCCCTTCCCTGAGGCTCAGGCCTGTCCACCAGGCAAGCAGGTGGTCCAGCAAGACGCCCACAGGGCTGGTGCTCGGCTCAGGGGCTATGGCCAGGCGGCTCGAGGGCCCCAGAAACCCTGGCGGGCAGACGTCTCCCAGGGTGTGAACGCTGGCCACCGACTGGGCCCAGGGTCACCCGGGCTGCGCCCCCCCGTCCCCCCCCCCCCCCCCCCCCCAGTCCACACTCCTCCCTGGACCCACCAGCCCGGCCGGGCGCGGGAGAGGGACGCAGGGTGCGGTGCCCGACAGGAGCAGGGGCAGGTGCGGCACTCACCTCATACCCAGGGTCGCCCCGGGGCCCGGGTGGTCCTCTGGCGGGCTGCAAGACAGGGGGGCGTCAGCTGGGAGCTCAGGGGGCGGGCAGGGGGCGGGGCGGGGCGGCGCCACACTCACCTGGCACTCGAAGGAGCAGCACTGCGGGACAGGCGCGGACAGAGCGGTCAGAAGGCTCAGAGGGTCGCGGGCGGCGCAGGAGCAGGGCCTGCGCACAGGCCCCGCAGAGGCCGAGGGAGGCGCGGGGCGGGGCTGCGGGCTGGGGCGGGGCTGCGGGCTGGGGCGGGGCTGCGGGCTGGGGCGGGGTTCTTACCACTTGCTCCACGTTGCTTTTCTGAAAGGAAAGGGGGAAGCAGGTTACCCTCGGCCCGGGGCACTGGCCGCGCGCGGCGGGCAGGCGGGCGGGCGCTCACTATCATGTCCACGATGGTGTCGATGGTCTGACTGATGGCCTCCTCCGCGCCGCGGGTCTGTCCCCAGTCTGCCGCGGTGAAGTTGCGCCGGTACGTGTGGTCGGTGGCGATGATGCTCAATCGCGGCTCCTGCGGGCAGCGGTGGGCACGCGTGAGGCCGGGGGTCGCAGGCCCGTGCAGGGTGCTCAGCGCCTCAGCCTCCCGGTGGATCCTGTCAACGGCGGGTGCCACGTGCTGGAGGGTCCCCACCCCATGGCCGCACCAGGGTCCTGGCAGGTGCCAAGCATGGTGGGCTGTGCGGGGTCTGTGTGCAGGTGGCGCCCGCCCACGTGTTCAGGGCACAGGAGAGACGGGCCGCTCACCAGGTGATCGGGTGTAATGGCCACGGAGAAGACCTTGATGCCCAGGTGTTTGGCCTCATTCACGGCGTCCTCCAGGCCCCCGCACGGCTCCTTGTAGCCCTCCAGTGGGTGCCCATCGGTCACCACAATCAGGTACTTGTTCTCCTTCAGGTGGGAGCCCCTGGAGGGCGGGCAGTGGGAGGCCCCTTAGAGCTCCCCAGGTCAGAACCTGGAACTGCAGGGCCAGGACCCACAGAGCAGAGGCCCGGGGAGGGCTGCTGCCTCTGTCAGACTGGCGGGAGCCGTCTGTCCTGACCGTAAAGTGCTGAGATGGAGAAGTTCTGCTGGGGCCACATCTTTCTAAAAGCCTCAGCTTCGAACGCCAGGACCACTCACCCGATGAGCAGCTCCTCCAGCCCCTTCTTGATGGCACAGTCAGTGTAGGTGCCCTTGCCGAAGTACTTGACAGCGTCCACGCTGGCCTTGAGCTCATCGCGCCCGCTGGGCATGCGTGTGAGCCCGCGGATGATCTCCACCTCGTCGCTGTAGTGCAGGGCGCCCGCGTTCCACACCAGGTTGCGGTCACACCGGTAGTACCTGCGGACCACACGGCATCCTCTCAGGGCCACAGCCCTGCCCTGGGAGGTGCGCAGTGGGCGTGTGGGCAGGGCAGGTCAGTTCCAAATGGCACACTGGAGTCCCCATGTGGATGAGAGGCCTCCTCCCTGCACCAGAGAGCACGGCCTGGGGCTCTCAGTCTCACAGGTGGGGAAACTGAGGCAGGAGAGCCTGAGCAGAGGGATCAAGGACACCCAAGGGGGCCACTGAGTCACCCGGCTACTGCGGAGCTGCCCCCCAAGGACAGTGCACACCACCCCTCCTTCCTCCGCCTGGTCAGCTGGTCAGCAGGGATGGGTGGGGCCAGGGCTGAGGCCTGCACTGGAGGAGCCCATGTGACCCCCACCAGGGGTCCCTGTCACAGGAGGGGGCAGGTCCTGGCTCTTGGGGCACACAGCCGCCCTGTCCACTTGTGTCCCCAGCTCCCCAGTAGATCCACAGATGGGGCAGGACAGCAGTGGGTGGGGGTGCCCTCCCCATACCCAGAGCCCTGCGGGGGACCCCAGAAACCATGCAGATGGGTGGCAGGAACTAGGGACTCGAGGGAACTCCTGTCCAGGCCCTGGGCAGGGGGTCTGCTGGCTCACATGGGCCAAGCAGGGGGTGGGCCCAGCTGGTTAGGGGGCATCCAGGCAGCAGGCAGCTCACGCTCAGGGCCAGGTCCCTGAACCCACTGGGTTTCCTCCGGGGAACTTCAGTTCCTCCTGGGTTTGGGGCTTGAGAACCCCACATCTTACCTGGTCCCCTCAGCCCTCTGTTGGCCAGGGCTGCCCAAGGCCAGCACTATGTCACCCCCAGGCTCTTGCCAGCTTCTGGACCAGGACCCTGGGAGGGGCTCAGCAGCCTCTCAGACGGAGGTTGGGGTCAGGCTCTGCCTGCGTCCCCTGAGCCCCCAACACCAGGACAGCCATTGGTGTGCCCATACCTGTCTCTCAGGTTGTCGATGAAGCGCTTGGTGAAGGACTTCACCTTGTCCACCAGGGCCCCATAGGGCTTCAGCCGCAGGGCCACACTCTCAGAGGTGTCCAGCACAAAGAACAGGTCCACAGGGCAGTCTGGGCCAGGAAGGGTCTGTGAGCTGGGCCAGTGCCCACTCCTCCAGGCCAGTGGCTCCTGCCGCCCCCATCCCCCACCAGCAGGGCCATGGGCCACAGCTCCCAGCCACAGGGAAGAGGCCCGGCCAGCAGGGGCGGGTGAGGAGGAGACACAGGCCTCCTGCCTGGGCCTGGGCCTGGGCTGCTCAGGACTGCTTCCCGCTAACTTTTCAGGTTGAATCTGAAGCCACAGGGCATGACCTCAGCAAAGGTTATGTCCGCAGGTCTCCCTGACTGTAGGCTGGCTGCCAGGTGGGTGGTCAAAGGGGTCAACAGCAGTGGGCCCAAGACAGCCCTTACGGGAATAGAACGCTGACCAGGAGTGAGGGCCATGGGCTCCCTGGGAGTGGGTCCCTCTGGAGTGTCCCGGCTGCGTGCCCTCCTGAGAATGGGCTGTGACTGGAGCCCAGGGCCTGGTGGGGACGTCGTCGGACACCTAGCTTCCTGGAACAGGGAGCAGGCTGGGACCCTCCGGCCCCCGACACTCTACTCTGTGGCTCTTGGCTCTCCTGCCAAGGTCGGGCAGACGGTCTGGACCCCGTGTCCCTCCTGTCCCTCCCGATGCAGCAAGCTGGAGCCAGCCTCGCAGCAGGACACTAACCTTGGAAGGCAATGGCCCTCGCGGTCTCGGGGATGTCCTGGGCGGCCACCCACCAGGCCTGCAGAAGCAGGGGCAGCAGGGCATGGGCCAGCCTCATGTCTCGGCCGGCCTGGGGCACCGCTGAGCGAGGGCCGGCGTCAGGGTGGGCCTGGGTGGACTGCAGAGGAGGGCTGTCTTCCTCAGCGCTGCTCGCTGCTCGCTGCTCGGCAGGACCAGAAGGGCGGGCGGCGGGCGGAGGGAGGGGCGGGGGCGGGGCGGCCGGCTGAGTCACGCTCCTGCCGCCCGCCCGCCCCGCAGACCTCGGGAAGGCAGCAGCCCCTCTCCCCCCAAGGCCTTGGACGCCATGGAATTCATGTGCCCCCAGTGTGGCCTCGCTGCCGCTTTCCGTGGATTGTGCTCCTCGTAAAGCAGAACAAAACAGAAGCCCCGAAGAACCCGAGGGCGCGGGCGGGGGCCAGGGTCTGCCCAGCCACCGTTATGTCTCCTGGGTGGCCCACTGTTTAGCTGAGCACATGTGTGTGCAGAGGGCACTTGGGCTTGGCCACGAGGACGCTCAGAGGCAGGGCGTGAGCCCAGAGAAGATTCCAGAATGCTGGACCTCGTGATGCCGGCCGTGCTCAGCCCAGCGCTGTATAACGCAAAGACCCACGAAACAGGACGGGAGTTTCAACACAGCGACCACTAAAGGGCTGTAGAGGAGACCCTTTAAAACCCAAGCTCACTCCCAGGACCCCCAGCCGCCCTCTCCTCGGCCCACCCTCCCCCAGAGTGCTACCTCGAGTCCCTGGCCCCCCACCTGACCCAACCTGGCTTCTGAACATGGCCGCAGGCCTTGGAGCTGCCCGCAGAGTGCTGAGCAGCAGCCTCCGTCCCTTCACCCTTAGGGCACCCAGAGCTCCCAGGCTGGGCATCGAGCAGCTGCAGCTCTTGTGCCCAGGGTTTGGGGAAGGAACGGGGACCACCGCATGTAGACCCCAGGACAGTGGAGTCCCCCCAGGGCTCTGGACACCTGCTGTCCACTGAGGCTGGACCACCCTGTGCAGCGGCGACCGGTCCTGGGAGCCGGGCAGCTAGGCTGGCCCAGTCTGAAAGGAGGGGCAGGTGGAGCCTGTCACCTTCCGTGGGGGGACAAGGGGCCTCCTGGTCCCATCCTGAGTCTGCCTGCCCCAGGGACCTTTCCACGTCTGCTGCAGAACACAGCCCTGGCACAGGCCTGCAGCGGGAGCCTGGCAGCCAGAGGACCTGGTGGCACCAGGGCTCCTGAGGCCAGCACCCCTCAGTGCACATGCCCACCCCTGCCTCACCCAGGCTGCCCACAGTCACCCCAGGGAGGCCTCTGGGGAGGGCAGGCCCAAGGGGCGCCTCCCACCTTACAGCTGCGCCAGGGCCCCTTGAGAGGCTGTTTCCACGTCCGTGCAGCAGACAGGCCCCGTAGCGCCCAGAGCGGGGCCACTGCTCGGTGTCCACTCGCTCCCTTGGAGTTGCCCCGGTGACGGCCGCAGCCACACATGCCCTGCCAAGGGAGCACAGGCAGCTGTGGAAGACCAGTTCCCAAGTGCCGTCCCCCAGCATTCTGCCCCTGCTCCCACCCTCCTGTCCTGTCCCTCTGTCTGTCTCCCTCTGTCCCTCTGCCTCCGTCTCCCTCCCTCCAAGCCCACCAGGCCCACCTGGGCTGCCCGCTGGTCTCTGCTGCAGTGTCTGCCTCCCAAACCAGAGCCAGGCCAGGTTTGAGAGGCCAGTGCCCAGTCCTGCTGCCCTGCTGTCCTGGGCAGCCTGGCCTTGGTGCAGGGAGGTACTGCCTCAGAATGGCCAACAGAGCACCAGGGGAAGGGGCTGGAGTGTGCCTGTGTCCAAGGGCAGAGGGGGTAGCAAGCCCACCCTCCCCTTCTGCTGACAGGGACTTGGGCCCCAGGCAGGTCCTGGCCTGAGGTCCTGAGCCAGCCTGGGGCAGGGGTCTTTATCCCTCTCTGCCTCTCACCCCCAGCACCACCTGGCTGGGCCTGCGTCCTGGGTGGCACAGGGAGATGGGCAGGTGCACTGGCAGGACTGCCTGGTCAGGGGAGGCTCTAGGAGAGAGGGCCGGGCCCTGGAGGAGGCCAGCCTGGGCTGTCTTGGGGATCTGTGTCTGGAGCCCTGCCCTTGGCCTCTGAGGACCCCCAGACCCAGGTCCATGGGCCCCTGCGGAGGCCACAGTACCAGTAGGGGGTGCCTGGGCTCTTTCCTCCCAGCTCTCTGGGCCCTGCGGGCTCCCGCAGTGGGCACAGGAGAGAGGAAGGAACCCGCCCTGTGCAGACCCCTCAGTGGGTGGAAGGGAGCTGCAGGGAGGCTCCCGGGCGAGCGGAGCTGGGCCTCCCTGGAACGCCCACGGCCTCGGTGCCCAGGCTGGCCTCCTGCTCCGTGAAGCCTTTCTCCCAGGGGGGAGCAGAGGGGCCTACAGGTGTGGAGAGCCAGTGTGTGGAGACGCACGCTGGAGCCGAGTCAGGCCCTGGGTGTGGCCAGGGCTCTGGGTGTGTCGCCTAAAAACACGTTTTACAAAGGAAAAACGCCCCCCCCCCCCCCCCCCCCACCCCGTGCTCTGAGAAGTGAAGCTCTGAGTGGGCCAGGTGGAGGGTCCCTGCCTCAGGGCAGCCACTATGCAGGGCACCCTGCAGGGTGGACAGGGCCATGACCAAGGGACTTTCTGAAGGGGCAGTGGGGGTAAGCAGGGCAGGACGAGAGGACACCAGGGCAGGAGAGGGGTCCCGCCCATAGCCCCAGCTCTGGTCTCCAGCCAGGGTGCCCTGGTGGGTGTTGCCCCTTGGGCAGCAGGAACCCCCACCAGGCCTCATGGACCTTGCAAAGAGAGAGGACCCCCGGAATCTCCAGGCTCAGGCAGTGGCCCTGTGCCCAGCCCAGATTTCCTCTATGTCCTGAGGCCTCACAGTGCCTGTCCACAAGGACAGCAAGGGTCCTTGCCACAACCCGGGCCACAGCTGCACACCCCCGGGCTGCCCGCGCCCTGCACGCCGAGCCTCCTGCCATGTGCTGGGTGCTGATGGTCAGCAGCACCCTGGACACCCGGGCTGCCAGCGCCGCCTCCCCGCGGGAGCTGGAGGATTAGGACCTGCTCTGGACGCGCCACATGACTCGGGGAGTGAGAGCGGAGCCTGTGGTGGGGTTGGGCGTGAGCCCAAGGACGGGTAGTCGGGGTGCCCAGGAGCCCCATGCAGTGGGTGTGGTACCAGGAAGCCGCCTGGGTGGGGACACTCAGCCCCCGGCGTCCGGGGCTCAGGACGAGCTTTATTTCCTTTCCCGGCCTCCACTGTTCAGTGAATTTTCCTCCCAACTTAGGAGATGATTCATCAGGGAAGACGCTGTTTTCCATGGCTACACACGGTTTCCATGGCGGCCTCACTGCGGAGCACCCCCACGGGCCCGTGGGGGACGCTGCCCAGGCCTCCTGCCTCCCCCACCCTGGCGCGGACTGCGGTTCTCCTCCCGTCCAGGAAGCCGTCCCCTGGGCGGCTCCTCCATGAGGGGCCCTGCAGTCTGTCCGCCAGCTTGGGCCACGTTCGAGGGCACCGGGGACAGGTGGCTCCTGTCTCCCAGCAGTGGTGGCCAGCTGCCCAGTGAGTCACCAGGGCAGAGCAGCATGAGGGGCCTATCCTGCTGCTGGGCAGCACTGGCCACAAGCGGCCTCAGCACTGGTCGGCACTGGTGCACCACCTTCCTTCAGGAGCCCCCAGGTGCCTCCGGGTGCCAGTTGACAGGGAGCCACCTCAGTCGCGGGGGCTCCTAGGAGAGGCAGCATCACAGGGCCGCGGGTGGCCAGCCAGGGAAGGAGCACAAGCCGCCGTCCACGTCAGAACCAGCAGCTCAGGGTTGCTGGCGCCCTTGTTGGCGCGGGTGCAGGACACCTCCCCCTGTCGGGACAAGAGGCCAACCCGCAGAGCCCAATGGACACGCGTGCTCACTGTGAGGGCCATCCTGCTGACTGGTCAGTCACAGCCAACACGGCTCCTTCGCAGCAGCTCCCAGTGAAGAGTCTGGGCACAGCCTGAAGGCTCAACAGCAGGGGTGCTCACTAAGTCCAGGCCTGGGCGACAGTCCTGGGCCACGGCTGCTGTGCACAGCATGCCCGGCCTGGCCCATGCCCACCTCAGGAGCTCCCCAGAGCGCACAGGGTGGCATGCTGGTCTGTCCTGGAAGGGTCTCTGGGTATCAGGGGACAGAGGGGCCCACCGTTCCCTGGGCCTGTGCCGCGGCCTCTGTAAGTGCTCCCACATGCAGGCACGACGTCAGTGCAGAGCCCTTGGCACGCCCCCTCCCGCCAGCTCGGAGGCAGGCGATGAGTTGGGCTGGCGTGCTTCTCCGCCTCTGCCTGGCCTAACTTATTTCTGTTCTGTTCCCTAAAAGCTGAGGCTCCTGTTTTCTGGTGAGAACCAGACGCGGGGGCCCTGGTTGTGCACACAACTATTTCAGAGAGATGGCCCCAGGGTGGGGCTGGGCCTGATGCCAGTGGAGGGCCACCCCCAGGCAGCAGTAGGCTGAGCCTGGGGCGCCTGGTGGAGTCCCCTGCTGGCCACAGGGCTCCAGGCTGAGGCTATCTGGGGCTGGTAGCAGGCCATGTGCCCCAGGGCAGACGTGCTGGGGCTTTGGTCAGTTGGAAACCTGAGCCAGCGCACACCAGTGCTTTCCTCTTCCCTGAGGAAGGCAGGGAGACCCCTAGAAGATGGCCTGTCCCACCCCCACTGGTTCCTAGTGGAAGTTGGTCATGGAGCCCCCACCTGTGCCCTGACCCGGCAGTGCAGCCCTGAAGGCTCGGTGGACACGCAGCGCCCACCCCCCAGGTGGCCAGGGATTCCAGGTAGAGGCAGGAGCTCACATCTAAGCCAGGAGCATGTGCTGCAGGACGTGGCGAGGCCCACGGGGCAGGACCCTCAGGGTCGCAGGAAGGGGCTCCTCAACCAGGCTGACCACCCCACCCTGGCCCTGTCTCACTGCCTGGGCCTGGAGACCCCTTCAATCTTGTCTTCTCCGCAGAGTTGGGGAGCTTGGGGTTCACGTGGCCGGCCAGGGCAATAGACAGTCAGCAGGGGGTGGCCATGGCCACTCTGCTGGCTGATGTGGGTACCTGGGTAGAAGCCTCAGCGTGGGGCCACAG